AGATAGTGCAAATAAGACGGATATTGGATTTCAAAGGATCTCAGTGAGAGTCCAAGTATTCAAACCAAAATTACATCACTTATTCATTCCGTTAGTTTAAAAGCTATCCACATTGATAACTTCATTTTTTTATCGATTTACTTCATATTTCTTGGTTGATGATTGACTAAACAATTTTTATCAGATTTATAATCAAGCTAATATGTACCGTAGCTCTGCTTTGTGCAGAGTTTAAATATTCCTGGTGACTGTTGATGCATATACGTCAGGTTTTATCTAAACGAGTAAACTATACCCATCATTTTCCAATCCTCCTACAATTTTACCTAGTCGTTTAGTATTTGCAAAGGTATTGCAGGCATCAAATAAACGTATTCAAAAATTTCAAGTAATACTATAAAATTTTAGGGAAATTCATTTACGTCTTTCATAATGATATTAACATTGTATTAATATTAATATTGTATGTTAAGTTGAATGTTTCAAAGTTGGGAAAACCATAACGAACTTATTTTTTGCACTTCAAAGTGTAAAGTAGTCCATTTGCGACATGTCGTAGACTCCTCTCTAGTAGTATCCCGAGTCGAAAAAGATTTAGATTTATTCGTCCTCAGTTAGAGTATGGAAACATAGTATTTTCTCCCTCACTCCACAAGGGTAAGGACACTCTGGAGCGTATCCAACGGCGAGTCACGAAATCAGTACTAGGACTCAAATTTAAGCTTTATGAAAAGCGCCTCCAATCACTTAATCTCTGCTCATTAGGGTATAAGCGTCTTAGAGTTGACCTTCTAACGGCTTACAGTATCCTTAACACTTCTGGACATCCCCTTAAACGCCTACGTAAGCTTAGTCCCAATACAATAATAAAGGGGTAACACCCAAAAATTGGCGATACAACATAGCAGAACGGACTGTAGACAAAACTTCTCCCCCTTAAGAGTCGTCAAATGCTGGAATTCGATGCTGGCTGAGCTATTCCAAGAGACCTTCTAGGAGTCCTTTAAGAAGAGATTTGATCTATTCTTAATGACTAAGGATAGTATCTTACTATTATTTGCTAACTTCTTTTTTCGTTCATTACCGGACCCCTGTGAATTCGTTCAGATTTCAGCCAACAACTCCAACACTTAAGGGCATATTCATGATCATACAGTGTCTACATCCAATATACAGTCGGACAGACACATGATGAATTTAAGGAGAACAGATATAATTGATTGCAGAAATTCGGATTCTTATTTAAGCTGTAGATTGTGGTTTTTTATAAACCAATTGTCTCTTTAGACTTGATATCCGCCTAATTTCAAACTTCAAATACGATACTTTTGTTTGTACTCATTTTGTTAGTTCATAATTATTTTATTTTTAGGATTCCTAGTTCGTACCATAATTCGTATGCTCTTGATTATCACACTGTTCACCTGTTATCCGTAATTCCACAGTGGCTACTCTGAATGGTGAATTATGAATTTAAAATACCTGAGATACTTTTAAAGTATTAGTAAAAGTTAGATTAGTGATTATTTTGTAACCCATAGGATATTTTATAGTTTCCCTTCAGCATTTAATTTATTATAATTGCTCTCGTCACAATTCCTTTCTGTTATTTGTTGCTCCCAACAACCGTCCAATTATAATCAAGGATGGCTATAACCCTCCACAAGAATTATTAGCCAGTAAATCATCTCCACTGTACAATAATCGGACGGAGTGGATGTGAAATCTGTGATTTATTGGCGCCATAACTTTTGAAAAATCTGGTCATGTACTCATCTGTATAGGCATTTTTGTAAAACTATGCATAACTGCACATACAAGCAGTGATTGATAATAAAAGTGAGTAGTGTTGACAAATACTGGAACTGTTATCTACATTTTCATTTGACTTCGTTACACAAATAGTTGTATAAACGTTGATCTTTGTAAAACTAAACATAACTACACATGCAAGCAGTGATTGATAATAAAAGTGAGTACTAATTTTATAGATAGATTTACATTAATAAAGTGTGATGTATAACTTTTTTATTTGAAAATAATCACAATTGATGCAAGTCTCTACCTATTGGAAACAGCAGAATTTAGAAATCCTAAAACTCAAGGGTCTATTGTGAAAATACCCCAAAGGCATGTGGATCCTTTGCTGATCAGTTTCAGCTAATGCGTTGTCACTAATTTTCATTCTTACGTAGCCTTTAGTAAAGCTCAAGAGTAAATTGATCTATAGGTCTCCAACATACATGCCAACATCACTATTTTGATGGAAACACCCTGGCTGAAGGCGCTCAGTTAAACATGCGTATTCGATTAGGAGTGAGTACGTTGTACTGCACATGCCTCATGAAAACTAGCTAGCACGTTTCACACACTTCACGACACACCAGCCATCATTTAACTGATTCATTAGTAACTTCTGACTTGAATGGTTGCAAGTTTCTTGATTATGAAGCTGTAATGGACAGTGACGCTGTCAAGTCCTTCACATTTGTTACATCTCTAATGATGAGTCGGACGAGACCTGATTTACCACGCAATAAACTATCAGTTTGTTTCATGTTGTAACGTTATATACTTATGTACTATATTTTGTGATCTCAGAATTTTCCGTGTATTTACAAGACCATTTATACCCTAATGATTCGGAACCTCGCACCTAAGGTGCTAGAGATTATTATACCATACTCCTACTTGTAACAATATCGAAGCCTGGCTCTGATATGCAGAAGCTGTCTTTCGGGCACGCAATGTGACGGAACGCAAGCAGAAAACTGATCCCCACTTACTGATGAAGACAGGTTTACCTGAATGTGGGTATGGAACAAATACACCCACTGAAATTTTGTCGTAGCAAATATGTCAGTCACAATCATTCGGGTGGATATGTGATAACACCACAGCTCACTCGTCAACCCTAGGTAACGGAGGTTGTAAGACGGCTATACTAAATTATCTTCAGTTTTCGATTGCAGTTCACACCCGATCCCAATCGAACATTAAGTCTATCTATATTTTCATCTGATACTTGATGAGCATTCTGGAAGATATAAAATGCCCCCGCCACTACCGTATGTATCCAGTAGTATTTCACATAGCATCTTGGCTACAGGACCACCTGTATTCTTTAAGGCACGCCATCTAGCCAAAAAATAATATGATAATATGATGAAGTTAGGAATAATTTGACCATTAAATGGCCTTTGCATATGGTCCCTAAGACCTATAATTATGATTGATATCCGACTGGTGATTATTGGTCACTTAATAGAAAGATCACCTCCAGTGGTTACGCGTTGTCGCGAATTCAGAACCTGACGGTCACCTTATAAGGTACGACTTTACTTTTGAAAATCCATGGCTGTGGAAGATGCTTCTATCACGGCTATTATCACTCACTTTAGACTTTACAAAATTTCTTGGACAAAACTTCACTTCAGAGAGTTAACCACGGATACCATCTGACGGTCTTAATCGTACCTCGCTTGACACTTCCTAGTTTTACCGAACCACATACCGTGCTTCACCTACTGTCATTAAGATTTATAAGAATAATTATTTTGAGATTCATTTTGAAGGTCTTATGTATAAAATTCCCTCCATGTATACACTTGTTATTTATTCCTGTCTGCTTGTTGTCCCTTTGATTGCGTTACTTGCACTGACTGAAGTTATGCATTTTTGATTGTGAATTGAAGCAGTCTTCCGAAATTGGAAACCCTGCGTCATAAAGCAACCAAATATTATCTTTCCAGAGAATCTGTACGTGATCGATCCAGAAATGATAGAATTTTTATTCATTTGTTGCGATTGGTAATACTTTATGAACTTGTTGATTTATTGCAACTTAGATTTGACTACCGACTAAACAATTATTGGTTGAATAACTGGGTAGTTAGATTTTTTCGGTAATAATGTACACTTATATTGAAATATGGAACCATCATTTACCTAATCGCCTTGTTTTGGTTTCAAATGGGTGATAGCGTGTGTCTAAACTAAATATGCAGTTATACTTCAGTCTAAACCTTAGTTTGGATGCTACAATTATTACTTGTAACTTTACAGATAAAAAAGGATCAAAGCTTAATGTCTTCCTTACTGCCAAAAACAAGTCAAGTTTCCAGTAACGTGCAAACTAGCGACTCTAGGAAATCCTCTGCTGATGGACAAACATTCTCGCTCAAATTCAAAATATGTAAACCATTTAAATATCTGTATTATTCGCCGGTAAATCGGGCAACTAATTGCTATTACTATACGCTAAAATAAACATGAAACCGTACTTCAAGACTAAAACTCTAGTGCAAGAAGAGTAGCTGGTTTCCACCAGCCCTTCACAGTGACTTTGTGGATACTAAGTTTATTAGGTACATCAAAGGGGAGGTTCTAGTACCTGTGGTCCGGTCTCATGTAGATCTAGGGGTGATAGTGAGTCACAATCTTAACACGATGGCCCGTTGCCGACAGGTTGCGGCTAAGGGGTTTAGAACTCTCTGGGCTTTAAAACGGATATTCACTTGGCTAGATACTACCATGTTCACTACAGTATACACAACCTTGGTGTAAACTAAGCTTGAGAACTGCATTTAGGCTTTAGGCCCCTGTTTAAAAAGTGACTCGGATATCCTGGAAAAAGTACAGAGAGCCGCTACCCGTACAATTACAAAGCTAAGGGGTTCACCATACAAAGGTGGGCTGGAAAAGCTGAAGCTCTTTAATCTGTCCTATCGCAGACTAAGAGGAGAATTAATTTTGATGTACAGAATACTGAGAAATGATGTTAGACCCAACTTATTCTCTCTTTTACATATCACTAGATCAGGGCATCTCAGAGGAATTAGCAGGCGAGTAGAAAAGCCAAGAATGTACATAATACCCGTGGCATACAGGTTTTCACACACAGTCGTCAATGCTTGGAACTTGTTACCCGAAGCAGTGGTGTTCGCACATTCAATTGACTGGATAATACCCAAATCTAAAACTGGCTATTGGATATTGAAGGAAAACTTGAGACGTTTGGAGCGTCTTTTAACGCGGCTGCTGCTTCAGGTATTAGTCCTCGTTTTTCGGGTTCTTTCTTCAGTATATTCACGAAAAACATTAGTGAAGTTGTATATCTCTAAAAACATTTGTAGCAAATTTGCAAATCTTTCAATTGATACTTTGTTGCTAACTTGCCATCGTCTTGCCTTAATATTTCAACTTTTAGTACATACTAAGGATTAGGACGATAAATATTCGATGTGCTTGTTACTGATTTGAAGATTATCGGCAAATAAAACGCTTCACAGCTATAAAAATGCTCCATGGTTTTAGTTTCAAACTATTCGAATGTTCTTTTCGGTATATGTTTTTGGCCAACTATTCTTAATAATAATAAGAAACTAGTTGGTCAATCTCCATTTTCATAGTGTCTAAAAGATAAAATATCTGTAAAACTGTTCCGGATCAGGTTTGTATGAAACAAAGAAAAGAGACATAACTGTCAAGATAGTCTACTTTGAGCCAAACTTGTACTAGATCGGCAGTAGCATAGGATATTGGACGAACAACCAGATTTTGGATAACGCATATTGGATTTATGTGAGTAGTTTCAGGCACAGCCGCTGATAGCTTTTATTTCATTAGAAATTAAGTAATTTCTCTAATCTATTTCTTGTGAGTTTTAAAGCAGATATACGTATCCGTTGTCCCATCACAGTGTCATGTCACTGTAAACAAACCTATATTAAACACTTACTGTTGACGCATCTAATACGGTAATTACTTGTTGAACATACTTTATGTATTCCGATGCAGAGGCAGGAATGTTTGACAGAATAATACTCTTTATGGGCGAAACAATTAGATTAGAAATTATACCTGTCAGATTTTCCGTAACATCCATCTGTATACCTTCGAAGCTTTGATGCACCATAGATGATGTCAGTCCCTTTTTAAACCGACTTCTCAACACGATACCTAATCTTAACCACAGATTCTTACGCTCATTCTTAGCCTTAAATCTTATAATTCATAGAATTCCGTTATTCCAGAAATGACTGCCAATTTTCACTGATGACCTGTTATGGCCTCATAAAATCAATTCAACATGTTCACATCCGCTAATTATATCGAAACTGTATTTTTGCGTATGTGGGATCCATAAATCTTATATTTATGATATCAACTTTAAAATTTACACACTGACTGAGTGATATGTTCAAGACTATTAGGCCTTAAAAATTTCGACAGGTTTATCCGTTGAAATTTATTACTTGCTATTGAAAATGATTTTATAAAACCATCTCCGAATGGCGGGTTAGTCGTTGAAGGTTATCTGTATCGTACACCTCTGCTGATCAGATAAACTCAAAACCATTTTCGCTTCGTATTTGCAGCAAATACTTCCTACTTGAACCCCATATTGAAAATGCGGTCCAGATTATATCTTGTATTATGTTTGGAAAATTGCCTGTTCCATGTTCCTTAGTGTCTTACAATCTTTCCACAAGATCTGAAGACCTTTAGCAGCAGGAACTTTAACGTTATCCATGGTTCGGAAACCGTTATTTGCTATAGTCCCTTGTTAGTTTATTAGATTCTCAAGGCTTTCTGTTTGCAGCTTGATAATAAATTCGTTGAAAATAGGTCTCTTCGCTGATCTCCGTGTATTTGATGTTTGGTAACTATATTTCTGTTAAATAATATGTAAACACTCCTAGTCCGCTTAGAAGTACTATCCGAAAACATTCCAAGCTAATAGGTCTCGTAGTTGTGGCGCATATATATTTGGTGCCCCCCTGTACCAATATTTATGTGTTCAAATAAATAAATAAAATAATAAATAGTCTCGTAGTTTCACGATCCGTGTCTAAGTAATTAAGATGTACCAATAAGTAGATAACCAAACAATCATTCAGTGTTATATCATAAAATTATCACGTTAGAGATGACGGAAATCAGCATTAATGTAACATTGCCAATCTGTTATGTGATTCTATACTCCTATATTGCTGAATTCCACCTGTCATTCGTCTTAAATTCTGTGCAGATATTGTTGATCTTGCTCCAAATAACTGAGGTCTATTTTGTTGATTATTTCGTACCATATATGTAGCAACGTTATTTATTTAGTCGCCTTTATGTTGGACATGAAAACCCCTAATCCCCCGTTTTTATTTCTCTGAACACATGTGGTCTCAATTTTGATATGTTGTGGATTGTGTAGTTTCCGCCTGCATTACCAGGATCTCCTAGTCATTCGTACGTTTGCAAATAACTAAATATTACTGAAATCATGTTTGGAAGCAGATGCAAGTGACTTAAAATATTTGGTACTAGTAGTACAGTAATTACATCAGACCACAACTTTCTTTATGATATGGTTAGATTCAGTATATATTTCTGCACCATATAAGATAGGCAATATGAAAATCCTCTTGAAACAAAGAGTAGTTATATAACATGTTTGTATGTTTATGATCTGTTTTTACTGACCATTTTGACATTAATTTCATACTTTTTCTATAGATTTAATGGTTTCTAATTGTATGCCTATTACACCTTTCCCCAACGTGATCAAGTAAAGTTATCGCAACATCAACATGTAAAACTTATTGGTTGTCAGTATATTTACAAATAATTTCGATCTAAATTTTAATTACAATATATTTTAGATGCTTATTCAGTGCTTTAGCTTAAAACCTTTGAGGAATATATATCGTCACGTGAATCCAATTCATTACATCTTACCTTCTCAACAGGTTCTTCTAAATGCAGTATCTAGACGGAATATTTTCGCTGTTACCGGTATTCAACCAAGTGGTAAACCTCACCTTGGAAATTATCTTGGGGTTATAAAACCGTGTATTACTTATTGTCGTGATAGTGATGTATCGCAATTCTTTATGTTGATTGCGGATTTACATTCTCTTACATCAAACAATTGTAATAACCTAAAGCATGGTATTCATGAACTTGTGGCTACTTTGCTGGCATGTGGATTTGAAGCAAATTCTTTAAAACAAATAATATTCCTTCAATCCTCTGTACCTGGACATACTGAACTAGCATGGATTTTATCATCAGTTTGCTCGATCCTGGTAAGAGTTCCAACAGTTTCACTTGTTTAGAACTTTAGTCATATTGTTTAAGCAGTATGCTTTGATAAAAGCTTTATCTTTTCGGAATCATATATTAACATTTAATGTTCAATTTGAAGTGCAGATAATGAGTGTGTCATACTGCTTGAAGAATCAAAATTCTATCCAAGTTATTTTATCATGGAATTATTCTTCATGTTTTTGAGTTATACTTGTTGATTTTACTGTTTCAGTTCTCCAAATATCTTCTTTGGTTTAACTTTTAGAATAATATTTTGGGTTATAATATTCCGTTTAACCGGAATAGGAAAACAGCTGTATAAATACACTGTAACTGGCTGATAACGCTTTGTGCAATAATTTAGGATTTTCAGTTAAGTTATTGTTATTATTATTATTTGAACACATAGACATTAGTACAAGGAAGCACCACATACATATGCGCCACACAAATCTCATTTGATTTGTGTGAGGTCTGTGATATTGCCCGGGTGCCTAAACTGAAGCAGGTGGTTTTCTTAGGTTGCTGTACTCCGAGCCTTCGATCTAAAGGTCTGATCCACAAGGCAGTGAAGCATCGTAAGGAGATGTTGTCCCATGGTAGCCGGTGACCAACGACATTTGTTCCTTCAAGACACTGGAGCCCATGTGTACCAATGGTTTGGAATCAGGGTTTTCCAACTCCCCTAGGTGAGCTCTCCATGTCCACCAACCCGGTTAAAGCGCCGGAGATTCGTTCTTCGTCCTCTCAATTTCCTAAACAACAGTAATACCACGAGAAGGCAGTGAGTAGGACTTCCTTGGCAGAGGCTATATACTAATTGATAGAAGTCATGAAATATGAAAAAGAGTTTAGCTAAGAGATTATGTTTACAATTCAGAATGACTCTGTTAGCGGGACATGGATTGAATTAAAACACGCTCAATGTACGATTGCTTTGGCGCATGCTGATTGGATAAGAATTAGCCAATCAGTGTTAGTTGATACTTGCAGAACACTCTAGAATCTTCTCATGTAAAAACTATAAGTATACTAACGTTTTTCCTATTGTGCTTCTTACTTCCATCTAACCCCAAATGCCCTGGGGAGAGTCCGCTCTACCTCTCAAAATGCTCTCACATGGCAACGCGTATACAGCCTTTGCCAGGGAAGTCCTACTCACTGTCTTCTCGTGGCGGGGGTGTTTACGAAAATGAGAGGACGAAAAGCGAATGTCCGGCGCTTTAACCGGATCCCAAACCAATGGTGCACATGGACTGGCTTCAGTATCCTGAAGGAACGAATGGCGTATGAACCAATTTCTCGGTCACCGGCTACCATGGGACTGCATCTCCTCACGATGCTCCACTACCTTGTGGATCAGATCTTCAGGTCGAAGGCTCGGGTTGTGGCCCTCTAAGAAAACCACCTGCTTCGGTTTGGGTACCTTAGCAGTATCACAGCCCTCACACATATCAAATGAGATATGTGTGGCGCATATATATTTGGTGCGTGCTTGTACCAATATCTATGTGTTAAAATAAAACCTTGCCTCCTGTTCAACCTTGTTCCTATTTGGGGGCTTGTTGGGTGAAATGGTGTACGAGAAAGAAAGCAATAGGAATAGCTGGGTTGTAATAAGAGAGAATTATAACAGACTCATTGCCCGACTATTATGAATATTCGTTTTGGGCATTTTTTCAGTGTCATTTCTCGAAGGACATTAATTATATGGAAGAATAATATCCAGTTGTTAAACAAAATGAGGATGTTTCAACATAGAACATTTTATTTTCGACGATATCATTCACTAAAGCTATACGATCGTATTCATACTTATTTTTTTTACGTCTAGTGGCCTGTAATAAACATAAAGAATCATTGAGTAATTAACATCTTCAGTCTCACAGTAATGATAATTTCTTTTTACAACATTATTGATGTCCGATAGTGGTCTAACATCAATCGGTTCATGATCTCAATCAAAAACCTAATAATCTCCACAACCCCGATACTGATAATTAACATATGCTCACTAGTGACTAGCTTCGTGAGGGAATTCTCGGAGTTCTAATGAGAATCTGTGACCAGTGGAGCTAATCTGTGTCGGGTAGAGACGGGTATCTACCTCAGTACAATGGAAGATGGTCGTGTAACTTCGTGGATTAGTTGAGGTTAGACATTAGTACCGTTGGATGCCGGCTGGCTCAGTGGTCTAGTAGATTAAGCGTTCACGCGCGAGACTGAAGGCTCTGGGTTGAGATCCCGCGAGCGGGATCGTGCATGCGCGCGTCCACTTAGGAGTCCCACAATAGAACGAAACGGCCGTCCAGTGCTTCCAGGTTTTCAATGGTGATCTAACATCAATCGATTCATGATCTCAATCAAAAAGTTAATAATCTCCACAACCCTAATACTGATAATTATTGATGTCCGTAAGAAATTGATCTTGATCACTATTTCATTACTATTAAAAAAGTTACTAGTGGGTAATAATGAGAAAGCTATTTACTTGTAGTTTAAAAATCATTCGGATTATATATTTCTGAGTTGTTTTGCCCAATGAATTCAATGTTTCTGAATAAAAATTTAGATTATTAGCAGACATCATCTGAAAATTTAAATTGTTCATGCTTTTACATTGAAACCATTTTATTTTTGGTCAGTCGAATGAACGGTAGTACCACCTGGCTACATGACTATACCAACTACCTCTTCTTAATGTACAAGTCACCAGAGAGTATCTACATGTAAACTTATCATTTCTTTTATCATTTCAGAAGCTATAGTATATGCACAGAATGCATATTGCTTTGTATATTCGTTTTTCAGAAGCGAGTTGTCTTGTCTGTATGTTTATTGGATTATATGTGTTTTTGGTGGTACTGAATTTTCCGAACTGGTTGATTTAATTGTAGAGCTATCGTCATGCTGGGCAACATCTTCAGCACTTACTCCATTTAAGAGTATCCGCAAAACAGTGTAAGGCTATAATGCAATCATGAAGTGAATAACAATATTTTTGAGGAAAACTAAATGTTTATTTTTATTACCACTCACTGAACGCACCTTTCTCATACTTTGGAAAATATCATATCCTCCAAGATACTATACACTACACAGTATAGCGATTGTAAATGAGTATTTGCCCCCAAATGCCCTGGTACGGTCGAGATTGGGGAGAGTCCGCTCACCCTCTCGAAATTCTCTCACATAGCCACGCGTATATAGACTCTATCAGGGAAGTTCTACTCACTGACTTCTCGTGGCTGAGGTGTTGTTTACGAAATTGAGAAAACGAATAACGAATGTCCGGTGCTTTAACCGGATCCCAAACCAACGGTGCACATGGGCTGGCTCCAGTATCCTGAAGGAACAAATGGCGTATGAACCAATCGTTGATCACCTGCTACCATGGGACTGCATCTCCTTACAACTGATTAATTTCATCACTAATTTCTCCCTGAACTTTTTTGTTTATCGTCCTAATGCTTTACATGTAATTTCATTAATAAACGAATATGTTCAATCTTAATTTATTCTTATACCATTTTGGATTGAACAATATCTCCTTATCACTTTTAATGTTATTCTATCAAATGTCCTTTTATTATAGAGGTTAGCTCATTTACCTCAATGGAGAGAAAAATGTGGATATTTTAATTCAATATCTGATGTATCTACTAATAATAACTTATCAATGAATAATATCCCTGATAATGCTTCCGTTGGTTTATTTACCTATCCTACTTTACAAGCTGCTGATATACTTCTTTATGGAGCACATTCAGTTCCTATTGGAGCTGATCAAATAACTCATATTGAATTAACACGTGATCTAGTTCGATCAGCTGTACATAAATGGCCATCATTATCATCTATTTTACATATACCTAATAGTTTGATTTTTGATGCACCTAAAGTAAGTCATTTCATGTTACATTTTTTTCCAAAATTTAATAATGTAAATTGCCCCCAAATGCCCTGGTATGGCCGAGAGTGAGGAGAGTCCGCTCACCCTCCCGAAATGCTCTCACATGGCCACGCGTATATAGCTTCTGCCAGGGTAGTCCTACTCATTATCTTCTCTTGACGGGGGTGTTGTTTACGAAATTGAGAGAACGAAGAGCAAATGTCCGGCGCCTTAACTAGGTTGGTGGACACGGAGAGTCCACCTGGGGGAGTTGGAAAACTCTGATTCCAAATCAATGGTGCACATGGGCTGGCACCGGTATCCTGAGGGAACAAATGGCGTATGAACCAATCGTTGGTCACCAGCTACTACGGGACTGCATCTCCTGACGTTGTTTCACTGCCTTGCGGATCAAACATTTGGGTCGAAGGCTCGGGGTGTGATCTCCTAAGAAGACCACCTTCTTCGGTTTGGGCACACGGGCAGTATCACAGCCCTCACACAAACCAAAAGAGATTTGTATGGCTCATATGTATTTGGTGCTTCCTTGTACCAATATTTCTATGTTGAAATAATAATAATAATAGTGATAATAATAATAATAGTCATTATATATGTAAATTATATTTGAAACAATCTCAGCGATTGAAATTTAAATAATTCCAACGTTTCGTCCAGCTAACTTGTCTGGACGAATATTTGGAATTATTTAAATTTCAATCGCTGAGATTGTTTCAAATATAATTTACATATATAATGACTTCTATACTCGGCGCCCAATATCTATCAAACTGTTCGTTCTAATCTTGACGAATATTCGTATAAATAATAATAATAAGTATTTACAGTAGATGTATGTAGGCATGAACTGATTTTGACTATTATTAATAATATGATAGATTATATGTTAATGATTTATTTATTTATTTATTTATTTTAACACAAGTATAGGTACAGGGAGGCACCAAATACATATGCGCCACACAAATCTCAATTGATTTGTGTGAGGGCTGTGATACTGCCCGGGTGCCCAAACCAAAGCAGGTGGTTTCCTTAGGGGGACACACCCCGAGCCTTCGACCTGAACGTCTGACCCACAAGGCAGTGGAGCATCGTGAGGAGATGCAGTCCCATGGTAGCCGGTGACCAACGATTGGTTCATACGCCATTTGTTCCCGCAGGATACTGGAGCCCATGTGCACCATTGGTTTTGGGTCCGGTTAAACCGCCAGACATTCGCTTTTCGTCCTCTCATTTTTGTAAACAACACCCGCGCCACGAGAAGGCAGTGAGTAGGACTTCCCTGGCAGAGGCTATATACGCATGGCCATGTGAGAGCATTTCGAGAGGGAGAGCGGTCTCTCCCCACTTTCGGCCGTACCAGGGCATTTGGGGGCATATTGCCCCCAAATATGTTAATGAATAAGTATATCTGTTAGAATTTGATTTATTATTATTTATTTAAACAAATAAACATTGGTACAAGGAGGCACCAAATAGATATGCACCATATAAACCATTCGATTTGTGTGAGGACTGGAATATCCCTCGGGTGTTCAAACTGAAGCAGGTGGTTTTTTATTAGGGGACCACACCCCGAGCCTACGACCTTAATGTCTGATCCACAAGGCAGTGAAGCATCGTAAGGAGATGCTGTCCCATGGTAGCCGGTGATCAACGATTGGTTCATACGCCATTTGTTCTTTCAGGATACTGGAGCCAGCCCATGTGCACCATTGATTTGGAATCAAAGTTTTCCAACTCTCCTTGGTGCATCCTCCGTGCCCATCAACACGGACATTCGCTTTTCGTCCTCTCAATTTTGTAAACAACACTCATGGTGCGAAAAGGTATTGAGTAGGACTCCCCTGACAGTGGTTGTATACACATGACCATGTGAAATCATTTTTCGAAGGAAAGCTGATTCTCTTCACCCTCGGTCGTACCAGGGCATTTTGGAGCTAGAATTTGATTCGTTATATCATGAAATTTAATTTTACCATTTTAAGTAAATAAATGGTTATTAAAGTAGTGAACTTAAGCAAAACTAAGATATATATCATGAAGAGTAAAAAATGTAACTTCTAATATCTTTCAGTTAAAACAAAGATGATGGGTAAAAACAGTTTTCGAAATAATAATAATAATAATAATAATAATACTAATAATAATAATAATAGCCGTAATAGTGGTAATAATGAATTAAAGTAAGTTGGCTTCATTCTACAAACATAAGAGTATAAAATGAAGGGGATAGAGAGAAACTAAATAAACATAATGTAGGTTGAAGAACGGTAAGACTAAAAGTAGCAAACCCAAGATTCGAAGGTGAAATCGTACTGCTGATTGTACAGAGGTGTGATGGCTGTAAAGTGTTTCCTTCAGATAACCAGCCTAACAGCGATGCTGCCTTCCCACAAAGAGTGGTGGGGTTAGAAATGGTCGACCTTAAAAATACACACCTCGCCCTTATCCCAGAGATATCCATCTCCAGCGATAAGGTCTCAACAAGTACAGAGCTAACACGAAAACTACTCACAAAAAGGTCGTATGTGACCAACCTGAAGCTATTATCCCTTGGGCACTGTGGTCACGCTCTCAGGTACCACTCAGTCAGTCAGTCAGTCAGTAACAACGTGGAACTTCGTACGTACATCAGTTCGAGTTGCCATACCACAATAGCACAGAGATTCAGTTATCAATTCAAAACCCGTAGTGGTAGAGGTAGCGAAAGTATATGTAGTGATAGGGAACATTAAGGTTTGATGATGTGATTTAAGGAGTATGATCCAGTGGAATAGATTTAGAAAGGAAATAAAACGTGAAGAATTCAGAAGATTAGAGTTTAAGAGAACAGAAAGAGTGGATGCACGTACGCCATTGCAAACGATTTTGAGCCATGTCATTCAAGGTCTCTAACCATCGGTTGCTATCGTCTCGCGGTCCCCAACCAGGTAGTCTACACCTACCAACATGACTCAGTCCACTTGTCAGTGACTTCATGGATTTGTGCCATGTTTTGGTCTGGCCGCCCCTACCTTTCTTCCAACCTACTCCTACACCATAAAACATAGCACGTCGGGGCAGTCGGTGGTCGGGCATGCGCAACACATGTCCCAGCCATCTCAAATGATTAAGTTTCACTACTTCCTCAATTGATTTTCCATCCTTACCTAGTACCCGTTTCCTAACAACTGAGTTACTTACTCGGTGGTCCCAGGATATACGAGCGATGTTTCGAAGACACCTATGGTCAAATACTAGTAACCTACGAATATCCTCTACTCTTACTGGCCATGTTTCACTGCCATAAAGTAGGACGGAACGAACTGCTGCACAGTAAACACGTCCTTTGGTTGATAGACGGATATCTCGCCTACGCCACAAATGACGCAAGTTGTCTAAAGCTATTCGAGCCTTCTGTATCCGTGCTGAGATTTCGTCACACACCAGACCACAAGGGCTGATCAGACTACCAAAATAAGTGAAACGGTCGACACACTCAACTATTTCACTCCCAATCACTAGTTCAGGTGTCGATGCAACATAATCCTGAAGCAACATTTTGCATTTCGAGGGAGAGAATCGCATGCCAAACATGCTTGCATTGTTGCTTAGAGTGGTCAGCAGACTCTGCATTCTGTCTGCGTCTTCATCAAATAGAACTATGTCGTCGGCATACTCCAAGTCAAAAAGTGAATCTTCCTGTAAATGATCGACTCCTGGAAGTTTAGTTGAGGGAAATGTTATTTCTAAAAGCACGTCAACGACAAAGTTAAACAAGAATGGAGATAGTGGACAGCCCTGACGAACACCACTTGAGGTAATTAGTTCTGATGGCAGTTCCCCATTAGCTCTCACTCGACCAGTTGTGTTCGAGTAGAGAGCCTTTTCAAGGTTGATGTACGTCTTTGGTACTCCTTTCAGTGACAAACACTGCCATAGAACCTCACGATCAACAGAGTCAAATGCCGCCTTAAGGTCGAGAAATACTACCATTGTGGGGCGTCTGAATGTGTGTCTATGTTCTAGGACCTGACGTAATGTGAATATTTGATCAATACAACCACGTCCAGGTCGAAAACCAGCCTGGTTTTCTCTAGTCTGCTCTTCACGAGCTTTGGTTAGACGTCGAAGTATTATTAAAGCTAATATTTTAGACACTATATTAGTCAAACTAATACCTCTGTGATTGTCACAGGAGGACTTTTGTCCTTTCTTATAGACTGGCACAATCAGTGATTGAGACCAGTCAGATGGGATTACGTCCAGTTCCCAGATTCTACCGAAGACTTCAGTCAATCTCGCTGCTAATACTGAACCGCCATCCTTAAAAATCTCAGGGGTAAACCTGTCAGGGCCTGCTGCTCTCCCACGCTTCAGATTTCCTATAGCTTTTTCAACTTCGTAAAGAGTCGGAGGACTTACATCAACTTGCCATTCAGGTCGACTGGAGATCGTGGGAAACCGAAGTGTGGCTGAAGGCCAGTTGAACTGATCCCTAAAGTATTCTGCCCATCGATCCAATCTCCTGGATTGAGAATGAATAATATGTCCATCTTTTTCGGAGATAGTTTCGCTAACAGTTGGGTTCCTAATACCGGTTTCCTTAACAAGTCTGAATAGCTGCCTGCTGTTACCTATTGCCGCTGCCTTTTCCATCTCTCTTGCTTTCGCTACCCACCACTGCTCACGATCTTTGCGTAGGCTTCTAGTCAGTTTACGCTTAAGCTGACTCCGCTCTTCGTTATGTTCAGAGCCAGATGGAATGAGTTTTCGAGCATCTATCAGTGCGGTAGATGCTGCTGAGATCCAGTGTTTCTCCCTAACCTTATGGTTTACCGTACTTGCAGACATCACTGCTGTTTCTACAGCTTTTCGGATGTCATTCCACGCTGCCACTAGAAGAACCTTTCCACGACATAGGCAACCGGGATGTGATAACCGCTCTCATATCTCTAACACCACTCAAGGCAACTGTTATTTTGATGATGACTGGCTAAATAAAATGGATTTCATTATTTACTTCAAACATTTTGTCTGATATCTATTATCATCTTTATTTTTGTTTTTTTTTCTATTACAACAGATAAACAACTTGACAAATCCAATTAAAAAAATGAGTAAATCTGATACATCAGAATTAGGTATAATCTATCTAACTGATACACCAGATAATATTTATAAAAAAATTAGACGTGCTGAAACAGATTCTATTCGTAAAATTAGTTATGATATTGAAAACCGTCCTGGAGTATCGAATTTATTAAGAATTCTATCTGCTATCCAGGTAATTCTAAAATCTCTTTTTATTTTTTATTGAGATCATGAACCGATTGATGTTAGATCACCATTGAAAACCTGGAAGCACTGGACAACCGTTTCGTTCTATTGTGGAACTCCTAGGTGGTAGTGCGCATCCACGATCCCGCATGCGGGATTCGAACCCACAGCCTTCAGTCTCGCGTGCGAACGCTTAATCTACTAGACCACTGAGCCAGCTGGCATCCAGCAGTGTTAATGTCTAACCTCAACCAATCCATGAAGTTGCGCGACCATCTCCCATTGTACTGAGGTAGACGCCTGTTTCTATCCGACACGGATTAGCTCCACTAGTCACGACTTCTCACTAGAACTCAGAAAATTTTCTCACGAAGCTAGTCACTAGTGAGCATATTAACAAAATGTTCTATTTTTCCTGTATTTTCAATAGTTGAGATCATGAGTTAATTGAAACTAGACTGACCACCATGGAAAACCTGGAAGCACTGAACGGCTGTTTCGTCCTTTTGTGAGACTCCTCATCAATGCGTATCTACGATCCTGCTTCACGAGATTCGAACCTCGGACCTATCGGTTTCGCGTGCGGAATGCTTAACCTCTAAACTACTGAGTCGGTCGGCATCCAATCGTGTTAATGTCTATCTTCAACCAATTCACGAAATTGAACGACATATCCACATTCTGTATTTGTAAACTGTCGAGTTTTTCGGTCTTTTACAGTTACTAAATACTACTAATAATAATATATTTATTTATTTTAACACATAACTATTGGTAAAATGAGGCACCAAATACATATGCGCCACACGAATCTCAATTGATTTGTGTGAGGGCTGTGATACTGCCCGGGTGCCCAAACCGAAGCAGGTGGTTTTCTTAGGGGGCCCCACCCCGAGCCTTTGACCTGGACGTCTGACCCACAAGGCAGTGGAGCATCGTGAGGAGATGCAGTCCCATGGTAGCCGGTGGCCAACGATTGGTTCATACGCCATTCGTTCCTTCAGGATACTGGAGCCAGCCCATGTGCACCATTGGTTTGGGATCCGGTTAAAGCGCCGGACATTTGCTTTTCGTCCTCTCATTTTTGTAAACAACACCCGCGCCACGAGAATGCAGTGAGTAGGACTTCCCTGGCAGAAGCTATATACGCATTACCATGTGAGAGCATTTCGAGAGGGAGAGCGGACTCTCCCCACTCTCGGCCGTACCAGGGCATTTTGGGGGCAAATGTAATTACATATGAGAAAATAACTATAGATGTCGTTTATATATAATTAAGAAAACAAGGCAAGTAGTTCGTTATTCTCATTTCCTTCATTGGTAAACATTATTAGTAGTGTAAGAATTGCGATGCTTCTCGGTAACTCGAAGTTAAATAGATAGTCACTTTAAATGTCTTGTTCATAAGGTACTGAAGCAACATTTGATAATGCATTCTCATGGTAAAGCAGGTGATCTAAGTACGTTCATACCCCGTCCCTTCTATTAAGAGGGTAGAGCCTATATTCAACCTTGATTTCTTACTAACGTTTTCCAATTTTCTTATATGAATCGTTCTTGTGCACTGATCTAGATTGCCGCCAAATGCCCTGGTACGGTCGAGAGTGGGGAGAGCCCGCTCACTCTCGAAATTCTCTCACATAGCCATATGTATATAGCCTCTGCCAGGGAGGTCGTACTCACTGCCTTCACGTGGTATTACTGTTGTTTACGAAAATGAGAGGACGAAAAGCGAATATCCCACGCACTTTAACCGGATCCCAAACCAATGGTGCACATGGGCTCCACGATCCTGAAGGATCGTTGGTCACCGTCTACCATGGGACTGCATCTATTTACAATGCTCCACTGCCTTGTGGATCAGACATTTAGGTCGAAGGCTCAGGGTGTGGTCCACTAAGAAAACCACCTTTTTCGGTTTGGGCACCCGGGCAGTATCACAGCCCACACACAAATATTTGGTGCCTCCTTGTGCCAATATCTATGTGTTAAAATAAAATAAAAATTGATCTAGATTAACCGCCAACAACTGTTTTCGTCCTGTAACTTGATAAAAAATTTATCCCTACCATGGGAAGGGGCCGTTTACGTGTGATCTTATGGGTCTGTGCATAGAGTAAGAATGACTTCCCCTTCCATCTTCTTAGTTCTGAATTTATACAAAAATTTTATTTTTTTTATTTAAGACAATAACATTAGTTAACAGTGATTTTAAGTAATATGTGGTAAGAATCCTAATTGTTTATTCTTTATCTCTGTCTGGAAGTTGGCGTTTCTAATTCTTAGTATGAAACTGTGGAGATTGTTAAGTTTTGATCTCGAATTGATCAATGTTAGACCACTATTGAAAACCTAGAAGCACTGAACGGCCGTTTCGTCCTAGTATGCGACTCCTCAACAGTGCACATCCATGATCCTTTTTGACTCTCTTAATTAACTTACTTATATACATTTAAGTAGTGTTAAATAGCTACTAAATATTTTATTATATTTTGTTATCAAGGGTTGTAAAATTGAAGAAATTCTATCAAAAGTACCTAATGATTGGAGTAAAGAAGATTTGAAATCCAAAGTATCAGATGCACTTATTCAAGAATTTGATCCAATTCGAAAACGAATACATAATCTTATGAATACAGAAGAAGGTCAAACTACTATAGTTAATTGTTTATCACATGGTTCAAGGCGAGCTAACCAGTTAGCTACAAAACGTTTAGAGCTTATTTACTCTGCTATTGGTTGTAAGATACCAGATTGTAAAAATTATTCTTCATCACATAACTAAAATAGTAGTATTTTAATATGAATATATACCTTATTGAGTCTTCTTTCATGTACATTGGTTACAATACTTTTGATATATATAGTATGCCCTCAAATGCCCTGGTATGGCCGAGAGTGGGGTGGGCCCGCCCTACCTTTCGAAATGCTCTCACACGGCCACGTGTATACAGCCTCACTGTCTTCTCGTGGCGGGGGTGTTGTTTACGAAATTGAGAAGACGTAAAGCGAATATCCAGCGCGCTTTAACCGGATCCAATCATGTAGGTGTTAACTTTAAAACAAAACTGGCAATTGATGTTTGTCGTATACTAATTTTCTACAAAGAATTCTATACAATCGGCTACAAACTATGAATTTTTTGCTATTGTTTTACCACTTTTCAAATAAACTATCAAGAATATTGGAACTCAATAGTGTATTACACCTTAGCTATCCATCTTTGCTTATAACGCTTATAAATTATCGTGGCAATATGCACATATACCAATAAGAAGTGACTGATTAATTGCAGCGCTAAACATCAATAGGAAGATTCAAGTAAACAACATTAACAAGAGAATTCAAAAACGACAAGGTTTGTATAACATGAAATGGATTTATTCTATTTCACGGTGAAGACGCTGATAAAATGCAGAGTCGTTTGGTAGCACTAAGCAACAATGCCAGAATGTTTGGGTCTGCGTTTCTCTCCCTCTAAATGCAAGTTGTTGCTTCAGGACTGGTCTGCATCAACACCTGAACTAAGGATAGGGGGTGAAGTAGTCGAACGCGTTGACAACTTCACTTATCTTGGAAGTCTGATCAGCCCTAATGGGTTGGTGTCTGACGAAATCTCAGCACGGATTCGAAAAGCTCGTTTGGCTTTTGCCGACTGACGTCACCTATGGCGAAGGCGAGATGTCCGTCTATCAATTAAGGGATGAGTATACTGCACGGCAGTTCGTTCCGTTCTACTATACGGCTGAGAAACATGGCCATTAAGAGTAGAAGATACTCGTAAGTTACTAGTATTTGACCACAGATGCCTTAGAAATATTGCTCACAACTGCTAGGACCACCGGGTAATCGTGAGGTTAGACGCAGGGTATTAGGGAATGATGGTAAATCAGTTGATGAGGTTACCAGGTGCAGTCCCATGGTAGCCGGTGACCAACGATTGTTTCACACGCCATTTTCTCCTTCAGGATAGTGGAGCCAGTCCATGTGCACCATTGGTTTTGGGTCCGGTTAAAGCTCGCCGGATATTCGCTTTTCGTCCTCTCATTTTCGTAAACAACAGTAATGCCACGAGAAGGCAGTGAGTACGACTTTACTGGTAGAGGCTATATACGCGTTGCCATGTGAGAGCATTTTGAGGGGAAGAGCGAACTCTCTCCATTCTCAGCCGTACCAGGGCATTTGGGGGCATAAATTATAATTATTAACAAATCCTTAGCATATATTTACATTGTGTAGTTTAGATAAATGGTCGAAACGTAATCAAAAGTCATAATAACCAGAAGAATATGAATACAGAGTGTATGAATAATTAAGATTAATATGTAATTGGGTAATCTCTTAACATTATACAAATGATGAATGTTAGAAGACGAAAGAATATAAGTAATTTTATAAACAAACAATCACAGGTCGGTATGGGAATATTTGATACAGATCGCCTCTCCAAAGCGGCCAGACCAAAACATGGCACAAATCCATGAAGTCACTGACAAGTGGACTGAGCGATGTTGGTTGGGGTCAGCGAGACGATAGCAGCCGATGGTTAGAGACCTTCAATGACATGGCTCAAAATCGTTTGCAATGGCGTACGTGCATCCACTCTTTCTGTTCTCTCAAACTCTAATCTTCTGAATTCTTCACGTTTTATTTTCTTTCTAAATCTATTCCACTGGATCATACTCCTTAAATCACATCATCAAACCTTAATGTTCCCTATCACTACACATACTTTCGCTACCTCTACCACTATGGGTTTTGAATTGATAACTGAATCTCTGTGCTAATGTGGTATGGCAACTCGAACTGATGTACGTACGAAGTTCCACGTTACTGACTGAATGCTTGTTAAACAACCACAATCGCCGATCATGATTTTAGTTGATTTGTTAGTTCTATCGATCGAACTATTTGTTTAAGTTCAAATACCAGAGAAGTGACGAATGTTCACAGCAATTGGTGAGCTTTGGTGAAAGATGTACCCAAGAAAGCTATTACTACACCATTTAGATCGTTTGAATTTTCACGTATGCCAAGGAATGCTGTACAAATATTTCGAAAATTTATTTATTTCGACGACGATACAACAACCATGAAAGATTAAGTGTATTGTTTAAGACACCATGAGCAACAACCTGCATGATTACTTTGGCAAGTTTTGCTCATTGTTCATACGTAACTATGGTTTGCTGGCTAACCGATTTCATTGATACATTTTGCATTTTATTGGCTACATCTTACAATGTGTTGTAAGTTGTCAGAGAGATATTTGCAAGAGAAATCCAACACAAAATGAATCGCCGAAATCGGGTGAGCCGTTGAAAACTGATGCTGGAAAGTGTGTTGAGGAAATGCCTGTCTCCGGCATTTCTATAGGATGTTGACGCGCAAACTTTCTATAGGATGTTTTCCGGACACATTTTCTTCTACAAATATTCAATGGATTCATATTTGTGAAAGCCGATTATCAACTATGCACATGCATTGTCATGAAACCGGAGATTGGGAGAGGTGAGTCCACATCAGTACTATCCACCTCTCGTCATCTGCCTCGTCTGCACTTATCGCCATCAACACCATCACTCATCATACGTCATCACGTACTGTGTCACTGAATCGTCACGGTGTGCTCGTCGTTCGACTAGTAGGTCGACGAACACCTGATTGTTTGTCCTAGTTCACTGACTGTCTTCTTAGACTATGGTGAGGAGGAGTTGTGTACAGGTGATCAGTATGTCAACCAATAGAGGATTTGAGTAATGAGCAAGTTGATAAGCGTGAGATACTATGTTGCGTTTGGTTCGATGTGGCTTTCTGTCTATCTGGCCATCTGAGACATTTGTTCATGAATGCAAGTGTGTAGTGTTAGTTGTTGTCGGTAGTGTATGAGTGAGTGATAGTGTGTGTTGTGTGAGTGTTGACGTGTATTCAGTGCTGAGAATCTGAATTGGTGGTTGAGTTTGGCTGAGTTTGGAGTGTGGTGAGTGTGGTGGCATAGACGTGCTCCTCGATAGTATAGTGGTGAGTATCTCCGCCTGTCACGTGGAAGGCCCGGGTTCGATTCCCGGTCGAGGAGTCGGCTTTTACTTCACATACACACATCACATCACACACACACACACACTCATCACTGTCTCACTCAACCTTGTCCACTCCTAGTCCACTGCATTGTATCCACTCCACTACAAACAAATGTCGCGTCAATTCCGTTCGACGCACCAACATCCCCTACCTCTCATCACTGTCCCATCGGTAACCGAAACCATTCGCTCACCAATCGACTACTTCCCAACAGTACTGACACACTCACAATTCACACATTTGCACAACATGCACCATTCGGAATTGCAACAGGCTTTCAGTTAGGCGCATGATGGACAATACCAAAATACACTGGATCATCTGACTGATCGACTTACTGACCGATTGACTCTGAACACATCCACACACAGATCACGTCACCTACATTCGAGCAGAAACGTGCAAGTTGTCTGTTACAACGAATGTGTGATTTCAAGAGAGTGAACGATGACTGAGAAATGGGTGAGTGGATGCAACGATGAGGAAGCATTGGCTAGTAGACAAGTATCAAGATATCCAGTGTAAGATGGTGGTGGGGGGTGGGGTGGAAAGTGCCATGTGACAGTGTCGGCATGTGGATGTGGTTGTGTGTGAGCGTGCTCCGTGATGTGTGGTATTGGTGGAGTGGAGTGGACTGACAGGATGTATGATTGGGTGTTGTTGAAGTGACTGTGTTTGTGTTTGTGTGAGTTCGGTTGAGTCCGATGTACTGGGTGTATGTTAGGGGACAGTGTGTGGTGACTGTGTAGGGTGGAATGGTGTTGTGGTGTGACGATCTGCCAAAAGCTGCTGCCCCCAGGGAGGATCGAACTCCCGACCCCTGGTTTACAAGACCAGTGCTCTGACCACTGAGCTATGGAGGCCGACAATTCTCCTACACAACACTACATCCACCATTCACTCACTATTACAATTCACAAACCTACATCTAGTGCACTCACTGAACCACACATCAATCTCGCAACAGTCTCAAACACTCTACAAACACACAAGTGTCCTCAGTCAGTAAGACAGTCAATCGAGCACATCATCACCATAGTTTGTAATCAACAATTTATTCGACCAGTCAATCAATCGATCAATCTAGCTTTCAAACACACTACACGACGCTTGGCCAGTTAGCCAATCAATTCATCCATTCATCTGTCTAGTGTACGAGCAATCAATCATGTGATTTCCAAATGCACACAGACACACACACACACACACATATATACACCATCCTATCAGTCGATGAGTATGTGAAAGCCGATTGTCAACTATGCACATACATTGTCATGAAACCGGAGATTGGGAGAGGTGAGTCCACATCAGTACTATCCACCTCTCGTCATCTGCCTCATCTGCACTTATCGCCATCAACACCACCACCACCACCACCACCACCACCACCATCACCATCACCATCGCTCATCATACGTCATCACGTACTGTGTCACTGAATCGTCACGGTGTGCTCGTCGTTCGACTAGTAGGTCGACGAACACCTGATTGTTTGTCCTAGTTCACTGACTGTCTTCTTAGACTATGGTGAGGAGGAGTTGTGTACAGGTGATCAGTATGTCAACCAATAGAGGATTTGAGTAATGAGCAAGTTGATAAGCGTGAGATACTATGTTGCGTTTGGTTCGATGTGGCTTTCTGTCTATCTGGCCATCTGAGACATTTGTTCATGAATGCAAGTGTGTAGTGTTAGTTGTTGTCGGTAGTGTATGAGTGAGTGATAGTGTGTGTTGTGTGAGTGTTGACGTGTATTCAGTGCTGAGAATCTGAGTTGGTGGTTGAGTTTGGCTGAGTTTGGAGTGTGGTGAGTGTGGTGGCATAGACGTGCTCCTCGATAGTATAGTGGTGAGTATCTCCGCCTGTCACGTGGAAGGCCCGGGTTCGATTCCCGGTCGAGGAGTCGGCTTTTACTTCACATACACACATCACATCACATCACACACACACACACACACACTCATCACTGTCTCACTCAACCTTGTCCACTCCTAGTCCACTGCATTGTATCCACTCCACTACAAACAAATGTCGCGTCAATTCCGTTCGACGCACCAACATCCCCTACCTCTCATCACTGTCCCATCGGTAACCGAAACCATTCGCTCACCAATCGACTACTTCCCAACAGTACTGACACACTCACAATTCACACATTTGCACAACATGCACCATTCGGAATTGCAACAGGCTTTCAGTTAGGCGCATGATGGACAATACCAAAATACACTGGATCATCTGACTGATCGACTTACTGACCGATTGACTCTGAACACATCCACACACAGATCACGTCACCTACATTCGAGCAGAAACGTGCAAGTTGTCTGTTACAACGAATGTGTGATTTCAAGAGAGTGAACGATGACTGAGAAATGGGTGAGTGGATGCAACGATGAGGAAGCATTGGCTAGTAGACAAGTATCAAGATATCCAGTGTAAGATGGTGGTGGGGGGTGGGGTGGAAAGTGCCATGTGACAGTGTCGGCATGTGGATGTGGTTCTGTGTGAGCGTGCTCCGTGATGTGTGGTATTGGTGGAGTGGAGTGGACTGACAGGATGTATGATTGGGTGTTGTTGAAGTGACTGTGTTTGTGTTTGTGTGAGTTCGGTTGAGTCCGATGTACTGGGTGTATGTTAGGGGACAGTGTGTGGTGACTGTGTAGGGTGGAATGGTGTTGTGGTGTGACGATCTGCCAAAAGCTGCTGCCCCCAGGGAGGATCGAACTCCCGACCCCTGGTTTACAAGACCAGTGCTCTGACCACTGAGCTATGGAGGCCGACAATTCTCCTACACAACACTACATCCACCATTCACTCACTATTACAATTCACAGTCCTACATCTAGTGCACTCACTGAACCACACATCAATTTCGCAACAGTCTCAAACACTCTACAAACACACAAGTGTCCTCAGTCAGTAAGACAGTCAATCGAGCACATCATCACCATAGTTTGCAATCAACAATTTATTCGACCAGTCAATCAATCGACCAATCTAGCTTTCAAACACACTACACGACGCTTGGCCAGTTAGCCAATCAATTCATCCATTCATCTGTCTAGTGTACGAGCAATCAATCATGTGATTTCCAAATGCACACAGACACACACACACGCACACATATATACACCATCCTATCAGTCGATGAGTATGTGAAAGCCGATTGTCAACTATGCACATACATTGTCATGAAACCGGAGATTGGGAGAGGTGAGTCCACATCAGTACTATCCACCTCTCGTCATCTGCCTCATCTGCACTTATCGCCATCAACACCACCATCGCTCATCATACGTCATCACGTACTGTGTCACTGAATCGTCACGGTGTGCTCGTCGTTCGACCAGTAGGTCGACGAACACCTGATTGTTTGTCCTAGTTCACTTACATGAAGAAATTGAATAAACCCATGTTGTAATTAATATAATATAACTTCATTTTACTTTTTTGCAGATTGATGCATATTTGATACATTCGAATTTAATGAGACATTTAATACCAAGCATAGAATACGGAGAATATCAGTTCATGGAATAATAATAATTATATGAAAGACATTATATTCAAGGTATCATATTTATCATAGATATATATTTATTATTGTAGAATATTTCTGTTAGACCTAATTGATTTCTTAGATATTGAACTATGGTATTTATTCTGGTGTTTGATACGATTACGTAATGTGAATGTAATACACTAGGATTTATGAAGAAAAAAAAAGGAAAACAAACATGAAAAGAAAAAGAGAATCAAGCTATTAGTATGTTTTCTTATTAATAGGAATATAAATATATAGTATTCTTAAAAGAAAATAAGGCAAGATTCTATATGATAGACAAGCCAATCAGAAGCGTTTAAAAGCTATCAAGGTCACGGCGCCAAATTCAATGCTTAATTCTAATGTACGATTGATTCACAGGGAATGTTGTACAAAACATGATAATTTGGCGACTATAATTGTTGGGGTATTCAGAAAATATCTCAAAAATTATTTAATGCCATTCTTGAATGAGAAATGGTGTCATTTTCCCATTGATCAATATTTTTCCAACGTATCATTTCCCTATTGGTCAATATTTATGGTAGTTCTAAGTGTATAAATATGCATGTGTCTGTAGATAATTATTCTCTTCTCCTGATCCCATAAACAATTTTCGTCTAACGGTTTGTGTTCTGATATATTGGAGATTTGGGAACAGTATTGGGGTTGTACTAGGATGTCTGCAAATGGGTCAATCGGTAGAATTAGATTAGTCACCACGCGAACCAGAACAATAACAAATAAAACGACGAGACTATAATTTATGGACGAATCAATCAGGTAGAAGATAACAAATTTCGGATTTTGGTGAGAAATTCTTTCGTCCAAGGCAAATTATGACAATTCTTGTGAACTGGATAATAAAAGCATCAGTAACACTGGACGCAGCTAGGTACTACAATATATACAAATGATTAGAGAGCGTACAGACTCCTACATAGGCTTGGTTATGTGAATCGTGTCGTTATCCATAAGTAACATTTTGTACAATCAACAACTAGAGTGCACATAAACAATATTGAAACTATGTGGTCAAGTCTGAAAGTGTTTATGAGACTTTAGAGGTCGACTATTCTCTAGCCATATGGATAAGACTATAATTTATGGACGATCTTTGAGTGAAGTTAAAAGTGATCTAGAAAATATTCATCTACTGCCTAGGGTTAAATGAGGATTATAAATTAGTACAAGGAATTAAGATTTACAGTTGTACGTGCTGAAATGATTATTTAACCAAATAAATAGATGAATCTTACACTGAAATCTAAAACCTACTACGTTAAATCTCATCAACTCATTTCTTTCCCATAATACTTATGCTAGTAGCTAGTCAACAATGGTTGTGAAGAAAAATTGAAATGGTTTATTCTACCAAAGCGACAGTAGATAGGTGTTAGCCCAATTGATTAGTGAAGTTCATTGATAAATCTATCGTTCGAATCCCACTCCATGTTATACTCTTCAGGCAAGTAGATATTGTTACTAGTCATCGTACACAGACAATATATATATACCAAAGAATAGTAACTGGTAGATTAACAGAAAAGAGTGAGACTATAATTTATGGACGACCTTTAAGCGACGCTAGAATGATCTTGAGAATGTTCACCTGATAACCAGGACCGAATGATGGTTATAAAGTAGTTTGAAGAATAAGGATTATGATTTATAGTTGATAGTTAAGGGTTAGGAATTCGATTTCTGGGCTTCCATCACAAACTGACATCAGCTATAATGACAAAACATTATTTAGTCAAATGGATAAGTGAATTTCACGTCAAAATTCAAGACCTATTATCCAACATCTATCATTTTAGAGGTTGTGGAGATTGTTAAGTTTTTGATTGAGATCATGAACCGATTAATGTTAGATCACCATTGAAAACCTAGAAGCACTGGATGGCCTTTTCGTCCTACTGTGGGATTCCTCAGTAGTGTGTATCCACGATCCCGCCACGTGGGATTCGAACCCAGAGCCTTCAGTCTTGTGCGCAAACGCTTAACCTACTGGACCACTGAGCAAGAATCCAATGATGTTAATATTCCACAATAGGATCAAAACAGCCATCCAGTGCTTTCAGGTTTACAATGGTGATCTAACATCAACCGGTTCATGATCTCAATCAATAAATATTTTATATCTGATTCGTTCATTCATAAATTATAATCTCAACCATTAAATTTGATCAATTTTATACCTGATCATCAAGAAGATCCATTAACTTTTGTTGTCCAATTAGGATACCATCAGATTTAAGCATATTATGTACAATATCAAATTCTAATGGCTAAAAAGAAACGTTATTATATGAATATACTTTGAATTACCGTATAAGTTAATATATTCATATATAAATTAGGATTATTCTTTAAATAATGTAATACAATTTGATTGATATTACCCTGTAATAAAAAGAAAATAAACAAAATAAAATTGTATAGATTGAATAGAGTAAAAAGAGAAAGAAGGAGAGAGAGAGGGAGGGAGGGAGGGAGAGGGGAGTAACGTATACACCCTTATAGTTACAAGTTGTTTGTTGCTATCTAACGAACATTAACAGATAACTTAATAAGTGTAGTAGATTATACAATAATATTTAAAGTGATCAATGTTAGATCTAACTCTTGATATAAAAATCAATACTGAGATGACATTCGAATCGGATGTTGTGAGATATTTCAATAGTTGAAACTAAACCACTATTGAGAACCTGAAAGCACTGGATAGTTCTTTCAAACTATTGTAGGATTCTTCAGCAATGTGCATCTACGATTCCTCATAGAGAGATTCAAATCCAGGACCTATCAGTCTCGCGTGGGAACGCTTAACCTACTGGACCAATAAGCCGGCATCCGACGGTGTTAACGACTAACTTCAACCAATCCACGAAATTGCGCGATCATCTTCCATTGTACTGAGGTAGATACCTGTCTCTACTTGACACGGATTAGCGTTCGCACTTGAAACTCAAGGCTGTGGGTTCAAATCCCGCATGGCGGGAACGTGGATGCACACTACCGAGGAGTCCCACAATAGGACCAAAACGGCCATCCAGATTTTTAATGGTGATCTAAAATCAATCAATTCATGATCTCAATCAATAATATAACCACATATTTCTTCACAAGATCTAAATAAAAAATATTAAGACAAAATGTCATTGTTGGCTCTTCCTGATTACCAATAATTATTTAAATAAAATGTGTTTGCACGACGTGGAATTCTCTGGGACGAAATTCGTAGAACATGTCCATGCCACCGAAGTCGATGTTTCAAGATGGTGACACCAACTGCATTATCGTCTCTGTGCCCGAACACACGGTGCCGAACCTCTGCATTACTAACACGGTGTTACGACTGGATGTCAGCAATCCTTCGGAGACAAAGATGATCAAACACACAGAGTTGTCTAACGCCCTCAACTCGGAGAGGCCCGGTTTCACAAGCATAGAGCAAAACTGCTCTCACCGACGCGTTGTAGATCCGACCTTTTACAGATAGACTGATATCACAAAGCCGGCAAAGATGGCCCAGATTGGCATAAGCAGCTCTGGCTTTCACTATACCTGAATTGATCTCATCACTCACGCCACCACCAGCATTTATGCAGCTACCTAGATACACGAACTTCTCAACTACTTCTATCTGCTCATCATCTAGAGTGAGTACAGGATTAGAATCCTGCCAGTCTTGTAGAAGTACTTTGCACTTCGAGGGTACAAAGCACATACCATACCTACGGACATTGATTGCCAACTGATTAAGTACGGATTGTATCTTGATTATTCATGTTCATATTTCCTTCTCATGAAAGGATACTATACTAATACTTTAAATAGAATAAATATATATAACGCTTCTTAGATAAAAATTAAAGTCATAGTGAAAGATCATTCATATCTTAGTATAAACTAAGAAAAAAAATTGATAAAACGATCTACTATATGTAACTGAATAGTGAATCTAACATGGTAAATAAAGCTAAGTTACAAGAAATACTACCCCCCCCAAATATATTTTATGTAAAAGTACTTAATGCAATTTATTACATAATAACCACACCCCGAGCCTTCGACCTGAAGATCTGATCCACAAGGTAGTGGAACAAGGTAAGGTGATGCAGTCCCATGGTAGCCAACCGGTGACCAACGATTGATTCATATGCCATTTGTTCCATCAGGATACTAGAGCCCATGTGCACCATTGGTTTGGAATGAGAGTTTTCCAACTCCCCTAGATGGACTCTCCACGTCCACCAACCCCATTCAAGCGCCGGACATTGGCTTTTCGTCCTCTCATTTTCGTAAACAACACTCCCGCCAAGTGAAGGCAGTGAGTAGGACTACCCTGGTAGAGGCTATATACGCGTGGCCGTGTGAGAGCATTTCGAGAGGGAGGGAGGGCGGGCCGACCCCACTCTCGGCCATACCAGGGCATTTGGCGGCTCCTACTCTAACTCTTAATCTTTTAAACGAAAATAGTAGTGAAGCTGTTATAACTTATGACATATGTGCCTTGTTTATTGTATAATGTAACGATAACGTCAATTAGAGAACAGTGAATTAACAACCGGACCAATGACGCATAAAACAAGTACGAACAGTCTAGACTATTTATCGGTCTTGCTTGCTGCTTAGCCCAGCTCAAGTGTTGTTAAAAATGCAAATGTACAACTACCAAAAAGAAAATCTTTTTAGCTGAAACGCTGTCATTTTGTTTAAGATTTAGTTACTTTTTTCTTATATACATAATTCTTATTTATTTATTTGAACACATAAATATTGGTACAAACGGGTACCGAACACAAATGCGCCACACAAATACTTCGATTTGTGTGAAGGTTGGGATGCTGCACGGGTGCCCAGACAGAATCAGGTGGTTTTCTTAGGGGGCCACACCTAGAGCCTTCAATCTGAAGATCTGATCCACAAGGGAGTGGAACAACGTAAGGTGATGCAGTCCCATGGTAACCAGTGGCACATATTAGGTTCATACACCATTTGTTCCATCAAGATCCTGGAGTCCAAGTGCGCCATTGGTTTGGAATCAGGGTTTCCCAACTCCCCTAGATGGAACCTTCGTGTTCACCAGCCCGGTTAGAGCATCGAATATTCGGTTTCAGTCCTCTCAATTTCGTAAACAACACCCCTGTCACGAGAAGGCAGTGAGTACGACTTCCCTGTCAGTGACTGTATATGTGTGGTCATGTGATGAGAGCATTTGGAGAGGGAGAGCTAAATCGCTAAATGATCTCACATGACCACGTGCATACAACCACTGTCAGGGAAGTCCTACTATCGAGTATTCCTAATTTGCTTTTTTAAATAAGACGTTGTTAGTATCAGACTAGTTTAACATTTATATTCGGTCAATTTAGGAGAACAAATCATTATAATAATAAGCTCTTTTTTTTAATGTGACTTGTGAATAGCTGTTTCGATTTTTTTTTTCAATCAACTTAAATACTTCAAATTCATCTAAAATAGGCTTATACTACTAATTTCATATCATGTTTTCATAAAATTAACAAAATTGATCAAAACTTATCGATTGAGGATACTTTTGATGGAGCATGGAATCTGTTGTAACTTGTGACCTGTGTGCCCTGTTAATGTATACGTCATGATACCACCAACTAGAGAACAGTGAATTATCGATCAAACCAATGACGCATATAAGCCGTACGAGTAGTCTATAGTCTTTATTGGTCCTGCTTACTGATTAGCCCAGCTAGTTGAGTCCAGAACATCATCCCAGCCTCTGTGATATGAATCGCTTATTTCAAACATACGGGGTGTATATACCAACCAGACAGATCATATCGTACCAATAAAATAGGAAATAACATTTATACAAGATTTAACCAAAAGTGGCTGTGAATGTGGAAGGCAGTGACTAACAGACAGGGCCTAATTCAAGAATGGTAAATCGTATAATAATAGTTCATAGGTCAAAATAAAGCTTATAATAAGAGGAACACGAATATGAATAATTCAATTACTTAACAATTATACGATAATGGATCCCAAAAGTTACCATTCATTATGTTTATCGGAACATAACAGAAGAATCCACACTTAGGAGAGTTGGAAAACCTTGATTCCAAACCAATGGTGCACATGGGCTCCAGTATCATGAAGGAATCATCATAACATTATGGTTGATATCAGTTCATAACGTAAATCCTAATTCATAATACTAAACATAATGCTTAACTTTTTTTCCACTACTATCTAATGAGTAACTTAATATCTTAGGGTTCAATATATTTATCTACAATAGTTTCTTTTTTTACCGTTAAATACTTGGTCCGACGATTAGTCGTCCAAAGTTATCAGCATTCTGTAATTTAATCAGTTTAACATTGAACAATACAAAAATTATTTACAGTAGTAACTATATATATATATATATATATATATATATATCAATAGCTGAAATCATGTCAATTGAAGCTAGACTACCATGGAAAACCTGGAAGCACTAGACGGCCGTTTCGTCCTATTGTGAAAATCCTCAGCAGTGTGCATCCACGATCCCGCCCCCTGCGACATTCGAACCCAGGACCCATCAGGCTCGCACCAGGCGCTTAACCAACTAAACCACTGAGGACACTGAAGATAATGGTGACGGTGGCGCAACTCCATGGATTGGTTGAAGTTAAATATTATTACCTTTGGATGCCGGCTCAGCGGTTTGATGGTTAAACGCTCGAGTGCCAGACCGATAGGTCCTGGGTCCGAACGTCGCGGAGAGCAGGATCGTGGATGCGCACCGCTGAGAAGTTCCATACTAGGACAAAACAGCCGTTAAACAATGCTTCCAGGTTTTCCATGGTGGTCTAGCTTCAATTGACTCATGATTTCAACGATTGAAATTGATAAAAAGCTCCACAAAACCCCTTCTGATATATATATATATATATATATATATATATATATATATATATATAATGATGAATAAATACCTTGTCTTTATTGTTTTGTTTTTGACTATTTGAATGAGATAGTTCATCAGATGAAAGAACTTCATAATTCAATAGGTTTTGTAACTTGCTGGAAGGAGTTGAAGTTGATAACAACACTTCTTGTTGAACAATACTATCACCACTATTATTATTGTTACTAGTAGTAGTAGTCGTAGTAGTAGTATCATTTTGACAACTTATAGGTAATAATGATACATTATTTATATTATTTGAAACATTTAACATTATCTTTTTAGATCTGTTCAATTTATGAATACATTTCTTATCTTTATTTATACAGTTCTCTTGTAGTTGTCTATTATTATTATTATTATTGTACTTCACTGATCCAATTTGTTTATTAGGGATAAATGGATTCTGTTCATCTTCTTCATCTAGATTGTAAATTCCGGGGTTGGGGGTGACGGGGGGGGGTAGGTTTTGATAAAATCAATAAAAAGAAACAGTGATTAAATAAAATTAGTAAATAATAATTACGAACTAATGTTGATCAAACCTCCTATTGAAAACTTGAAAGTATTGAGATATCTGTATTGTTTCAGTATAAGATTCTTCAATAGTGTGCAGTTTCTGTAGTGCTAGTGCATAATCCTTGACTAGTGGAGTTAAACTATGTCAGGTGTGAGAATTATCGACACCAGACAATGAACGGTGGTTGCGAAATACCGCAGATTGATTGCAGCTAAACATTAATACCGTTGAATGTCGATGCAGTGGAATGGGTTTCGATTTTAAGATGCAAGGTCGTGGATGGACCCTGCTAAAGCATACTAAACCAGAACGAAACACTCATCGAGTGCTTTCAGCTTCCAATTGTGATCTAACTAAGATCAGTTCGTGATTTAAATTCATAAAATTCTGTAGTCTTTACTCGAGCAGCGCGCATCCACGACCCCGCCTCGTGGGATTCGAACCCACGACCTATCAGTCTCGCACCAGGCGCTTAACCAACCACTGAGACCGCCCCCAAATGTCCTGGTACGTCCGAGAGTGGGGAGAGTTCGCTCTCCCTCTCGAAATGCTCTCACATGGCCATGCGTATAAAGCCTCTGCCAAAGAACTCCTACTCACTGCCTTCACGTGGCATTCCTGTTGTTTACGAAAGTGAGAGGACGAAAAGCGAATGTCTACCGCTATAACCGGATCCAAAACCAATGATGCATATGGGCTGGCTCCAGTATCCTGAAAGAACAAATGGAGTATGAATCAATCATTGGTCACCGGCTACCACGAGACTGCATCTCCTCACGATGCTCCACTGCCTTTTGGATCAGACCTTCAGGTCGAAGGCTCCGGGTGTGATCTCCTAAGAAAACCACCTGCATCGGTTTGGGCACCCGAACAGTATCACAGCCCATACACAAATCACGTGACTTGTATGGATTTAAATTCAGTTTATCAAAAACTGATATACTTTGTGTGAAAAATAATGTTTTTAGTGAGCTTTTAATCACACACTAGTAATAAGTTTTATATTAGAGTGAAACAGTTGCTCAAATATTTGAAATATACGAACTGAAACCTGAAAGCTCAATGTTCGACCCCATATGGGATTGTAAGCGAGCATAACTGAAATGTGTACATATGTATATATGCTTGAATCTTATTAATTGCTTCAATTTGCTTTGATTTGTTTCGACTCGGAATCTGTTTAAGTATTCGTTTGCTCGTGCGCATTAGTCTTTCCGCTCAAATATGCTTGGTGTGTTTGCAATTTGTTATCTGAGCCATCTAATAATAAACTGTAGTTGGTGCTTCGTGTTGTCTTCTGAATTTATACACCGTTGGGATTTATTGAATTACGGTTATCACGGTGATTGATAAATTGAACCCAAGGGATTATCTCGAAGCCAAGCTGTTACAAGTCCTAGATCAAATATCTACTACTTTCTAGTTTCCAATCATTCTTCAGGTTTCTTCTTTATTTATTTATTTATTTTAACACATAGATATTGATACAAGAAGGCACCAAATACATATACGCCACACAAATCTCATTTTATTTGTGTTTAGGCTGTGATACTGACCGGGTGCCCAAACCGAAGTAGGTGGTTTTCTTAGGGGACCACATCTCGAGCCTTCGACCTAAAGGTCTAACCCACAAAGCAGTGGAGCATCGCGAGGAGATGCAGTCTCATGGTAGCCGGTGACCGACGATTGGTTCATACCCCATTTGATCCTTCAGGATACTGAAGCCAGCCTATGTGCATCATTGATTCGGGATCCAGTTAAAGCGTTGGACATTCACTTTTTACCCTCTCATTTTCGTAAACAACATCCCCGCCACGAGAAGGCAGTGAGTAGGACCTTCGTGGCAGAGGCTATATACGCGTGGCCATGTGAGAGCATTTCGAGAGGAAGAGCAGACTCTCCTCACTCTCGGCCGTACCAGGGCATTTGGTCCATGCTGATAATTAAAATCCTATTGGACAATTTCCGTATATACCTCATATAATAGTAATAGTAATAATATCCTTGCTAGTAACTTGCTTCAAGAGACAGACTTTGTGATAGGTGGAGGTTAAACCATATGTGAAGTGAGATATCATCATTTACTAAAAGGCATGTTTTGTTGATGCATTTGTCTGTACCTTACTGCTGATTTATTAAAGTTATTCGATATTGATTCATATACAAAAATTACATGAAGAATACAACCTCATCAGTAATCTTTGTTGATATATATATATATATATATATATATATATATATATATATATATATATATATATATATATATAATTTGAGATACTGTCTGGACGACCGAAACGAATCAAACGGCTTTCTCAGTAGACAACTTTTCGAATCTTCAACTTAGATGTCTAATCCACAAATCACCAGAGAAACCTTGACAGATGCGATCCCATGGTAGCCAGTGATCAAAATAGATCCGTATGCTAATTACTCTCTCACGATCCTGGAGCCCATAAACCTCATTGACATAAAGCGATGGATTTTCTATCTTCTTCGATGGACGCTTCATCTCCACTAACTTAGTTTAAGCGTTGGACATCCTCTTTTCATCCTCCCAGTTTCATATAAATCACAGCCACATGAAGGCAATGAGAAGGACCTTCGCAGTGGAAGCTGGTCATTCAGTCAGTCAGCTGCAACGTAGGACCAGGCACATATATGCATCGGTCCAAGTTGCCATACCGCATTAGCACAACAAGATGAACACCGGATTCATAGGAGTAGTTAATTCAGTGGTGGTAATATATAGAAGAAAGATTGTGTATAAGGAGATAGTACAGGAAGAAAGAATTAGTTCGTAGAAAGGAAGATATGAAGCGATTTTAATCTCTTAGTTTAAGGAAGACAGAGAGTGTATACACCGACGCCATTGTGATCGATTCTGAGCCATGTCACCAAGAGTCTCCAACCATTGGTTACGATAGTCATGCGGACCCCAACCAGACAGTCTGCATTTACCAACATGGCTCAGACTAGAAGTTAGTGACTTCAAGCACTGATGCCACGTTTTGGTTTGACCGCCCCTAACTTTCTTCCAATTATTCCTAACACCGGTTAGCATTGCGCGTCGTGGTAATCGGTGTTCAGGCATACGCAGCACATGGCCCAACCATCTCAGTCGATGAAGATTCATAACCTCATCAATTGATTTACCATCATTCCCTAATACCCTGCGTCTAACCTCACTATTACTTACCCGTTGATCCCAGCAGATACCAGAAATATTTCTAAAGCATCTGTTGTCAAATACTAGTAACTTACGAGTATCTTCTACTCTTAAAGGTCATGTTTCGCAGCCGTATAGTAGAACGGAACGAATTGCCGCTAGAAAGACCTGTGTATGAATTAGTCTTTTGAGAAAGAAAGAAAGAAAGAACAAAATTTCCCAACCTTTGACTATACCAAATTATTTGGGAGCATTAATACAACTGAAAAATGAGAATAGACTTACATTGATGAAGTTGATTATAGATTTCTTTTAAGAGTAGTATAGCACGTTTACGTGGAAGAGGTTTCACACCATATTTAGATAAAGCACGCTAAAACAATAAAAATAAAACAAGAGAATAATGAAAAGTTTGAAATATTTCGAAGAAATAACCACTTCAACTCTACACTTGAAATGATAAAATTTAAGTTGAATAAAAGTAGGTGTTGACTGTAAACAACACATTTACAATGGAATATAGAAAGTGAACAGTTTCCGTGTCTGGTGATCCAAGTGTTGAACAGTATATTCATAACCTTATTAGTATGGAAATACTTATTTACGTACTTACGCTTATTAACTTTCATGGAGGAGCATAGGCTACCCACCAACATTGTCCATTCTGTGCAATCCTTCCCAGTTCTTTCTATCCTTTTCATATCTGCTTCCAATTCCTGACGCAGTATGTTCTTTGACTTTCCGCTTTTTCGTTTCATTTCAGGATCCCAAGATAGCGTTTGCCTCATGTTGCAGTTTGATGATTTTTTCAATGTGTGTCATATTCATTTCCACCGTCTCCTAAATTTCTTTTCGGTTAGAAGTTGGTTTATTCTCTCCCACGGTAGGCTGCTGCTGATGGTATCCAGCCAACGGACATTGAGTGTTTTGAGTAGACAATTGCTTATACATACTTGTACCATTTTGATGATGGTTGTATTACTTTGCCAAGTTTCAGCTCCTTACAGTAGAACTGTGTTGATATTCGCATTGAAGATTCTCACTTTTATATTGGTCGACAGTTGTTTTGAGTCCTATATGTTCTTCAACTTCAGGAATGCTGTCCTTGCTTTTCAGATCCTCGCCTTTACGTCTGCATCAGATCCAGGTACATGAAAGATTCCACATCTTTCAAAGCTTGTCCATCAACTGTGGCTAGGTTGGTGTTATCCGTGTGCATTTGAGGATCTTGCTTTTTCATCGAATATGTTGAAACCTTCTGATACAGGGGCTGCTGCTACACTAGTTGTCTTCATCTACATTTGTTAGTGTGTATCGGATAGAAGGGCCAGATTATCTACGAAGTCCAAATTCAATTGATTCCGAGCTGTCGATTGTATTCCGTGCTTTCCCTCAGATGTCGAGGTCTTCATAATTCAGTCAACCACCACAAGAAATAGAAAAGCGGAGAGTAGTCAGTCTTGACTGACTCCAGTCCTCACTTTGAATACATTTGTCAGCTATCCTCCATGTACCACTTTGCACTGTAAACCGTCGTATGAATTCCGTATGATGTTGACTGTCTTCTGAAGTACATCATTGTGTTGAAAAAATTTCCATAATGCTTTCCTATTCACAATGTCATATGCTTTCTCATAATCAAGGGAATTGATGTATAGTGAGAATTCTATTCAATTGATTACATATTATATTCACACAACAGTATTATTATTACTATTATCTTAATTGACAAAATGAAATTCTCCTATTATGGTCGTTTATTCACACAATTTTTTTTTTGCATTTTCATTTTTTCTATATTACTTATTATTCTACTGATTAAGAATGGACTCTTTACTCCAAATCATTCTGACCTTTATTAAATGACCTTTCTAATTTACAAATAACACAATTTTGAATTGTATCTATGTTGTAACCAAATGTAAACGTTCATTATATTTAACATATAACATTGTCAAATTCATGCCAGCTCAATGGTCTAGTGGTTAAGCGCTCAAGCGCGAGACTGATAGATCCTGAATTCGAATTTTGTAAGGGGGGAGATCGGGGATGTACACTGTTGAAAAGTCCCACAATAGTAAGAAACGGCCGTTCAGTGCTTCCACGTTTTCCATAGTGGTCTAGCTTCAATTGACTCATGATCTCAACTATTGAAATTATTATAATATCCACAAAATCCCCTTCTGATACTGATCAGCATATCTTCACTAGTGACTGGTTTCAAGAGGTATATCTTGGAGTTCTAGTGAGAAGCTGTGACCAGTGGAGTTCAATGGGGTTAGTTATGAGATAGTAACTCATTGATGATAATTGTGGTGTCGCTCAAATTCGTGGATTAGTTGAAATTAGACATTAACACCGTTGGATGCCGGTTCAATGGTCTAGTTGGTTAAGCGCTCGCGCACGAGACCGATATGACCTGTGTTCGCATCCCGCTGGGGGTGCGGGATCGTGGATACGCACTGCTGAGAAATCCAATACTAGGATGAAACGGTCATCCAGTGCTTCCAGGTTTTCCATGGTGGTCTAGCTTCAATTGACTCATGATCTCAACTATTGAAACTAACAATTCTCCACAAAACCCCTTCTGATATGAATAAAACTGACAAACTCTAATCTAAAGTGGGGAATAATTACAAAATGCACAATATGTTACAATCAATATGACCAAAAGGTAACGACAGCCAATTTTCAACAACATCTAATCTACTACTGAATACTGGATATGTAGGATCATTGACTTTTATATACTCAGTTTAGCTAATGGGCTATTTGATAAACATCCAAATAATTGCTGAGTTGAGTATACATATATATAAACAAAGATGGCTAGTGGCTAGCAGTGGAATCCAGTTTGAAGCGTGTTTCGTCCTATTTGAAACTCATCAGCTGGATGTACCTGTATCTCAGAGTTGATGTTCCCTTTGAGACTCGAACGCAGTATCATTCGCTTCAAACGCCATCGCGTTATCTACTTAACTACTGAACCCTGATAACCACTTGCTTGTGCAATGGGGATGAATTTAAATTCACTAGATATTGTTTTGCTTTTTTTTATTTATTTTTTATTTATTTATGGCTTTATTCAATATTATGTTTTGGTACAATATAGAATTCTCAGCACAAAAAATATTTCAACAAGTTTCTTTTACAGAACAAAAGAAAAAAAAAACGGTTTAAAAAAAAAAAATCTGAAAAAAAAAACTGTAAAACTTTTCAATTAGAGTCATGTTAAGAATGCAGATTATTGACTAGGTTAACTTTAACAACCTGTTCGTCACAGAGTACATTTGCTAGGTAAGGTACTATAGAACGTTTATACTTTTGCTTGCGTGCTTGGATTTTAATGTAATTTCGTTTCGTTCTACCAGAAGATATACAAGGAGAAAGATATGAGTGAAAGGGATGGTTAGTATCTGATAAAATAACATCTGCCAGGAGTTTGCATGACTTTAGATGTCTATCCACAATCATATTAATTATGGTCTCGAAAGATTCACCACATAACTTGCTAACTGCCTTCAGCACTCTCCGCAGTACAGCAAAGTCTTTTCTCAAAAGCCCGGGAAAGAATAACGGAGAACAGTACAGAATAATAGGTAATATGCAAGAATTGACAAATTGTAGGAGTAAATGACGAGTGATCCCAAAGGCATGCAACCTCTTAATGTAGTATGTCAGACGGAAAACCTTCTTCGATAACAATAAAACGTGAGAAGACCAAGAGAGATCAGAGGAAAAGGTAACACCAAGATAATTGACCGTCGACACTGTGTTTATCAAAGAGTCGCCAATGGCACAAGCATTATGAGATCTCAAAAAGGTGTTTAAATGTCGATCATGTCTCATGCTAAAGTTAACAGCTTGACATTTAGACGGATTAAGTAGGAGACCATTAACGACAGACCAGCTATCAATGCGAGATAAAAACTCGTTCATTTCTATAGGATGTAAAGAGGAAGAGATAGGCATACAAACAGTGAGATCGTCTGCATATTTCACGAAAGTGTTTACTGTGGAAGATGGCAGATCATGCAGAAAAAAAGAGAAAAGAAGAGGTGAAAGAACAGCTCCTTGTGGTACACCTTCATAAGACACTAGAGACTCTGAACACTTTCCTCCAAACACCGTGTACTGTTCCCTTCCAGAGAGGTAGGAACATAGCCAGTTGGTTATCCAGCTGTCAGTGTTGACGCTGATTAACTTGTTAAGTAAACGTTGCCTTGATATAGAATCAAAAGCAGAAGTATAGTCCAGGAAAGCGCATCGAACATACTTCTTACCCTTTTCTAGGTTGAACACTATATTATGATGCAGAACAGCAACAGCATCGAGGGTGCTTCTTTTGCATCTGTAAGCAAACTGATACTGGTCAATGTGCTCTTTCATCGCAGGCTGAAGTGAAAGTGTCAATAATTTTTCCATTGCTTTGAGGAAGGGTGAAGTTATTGCAATGGGTCTGAATTTCACATTCTTATCACTAGATGATTTCTTGGGTATAGGGATTATTTTCATCTTTCTCCACATTTTCGGTATGAGATTCGAAGAGAAGGATCTATTAAAGATAGTGGTGAATGGATAGCATAGGACGTCAGCACACTTTTTGAAAAGGAGGTTTGGGATACCATCAGGTCCCAAACATCGGGATGAATTTAGTGACTGGAGACATTTTTGAACATCAGTTTCGGTGAAACTAGGAACACAGCTATTTTTTAAACCCGTGAATAAAGGGAGTATCACATCAGATGATTGACGTAAAAAAGACTTATTTAAGTCACAAACATCCAGCTGGTTATCGGTCCTAATCTGTCTGTCACTTGTAAGTTCTTTAAAGAGTTTCCACATACTTGAAGAGTTTTTACAAGACAAGAGTTTTTGAGCAAACATAGTGTTGAGACGACTAATCTCGAGGTTTATCAGACCATTTAGCTTACGAACTTCACTAGAGTTTTTCTTTTTGTACATTATTTCTTTCACCCTCCGTAGTCGTTTTAGTTGTGAAGATGTAAGTCGATCAAAACTTACAAAAATAGTTTCAGTGGGACAACAAATATCAAAACAGAATTTAAGGTAGCAAGTGATAACATCAGTAGTGATTTCCAGTGAGTCATCTGTAAATAATTCCCAGTTGGTCGTATGAAACATGTCTTTCAGGTTTCGGATATTTACTTCTGAGTAATTCCTATATTTGACTTTCTTGCTTTGATTTAAGAGTGCACTCTTTCCATGCTTTCCATATACTTTAGGTAGAACACGAATTATACAGTGATCCGAGCTAGACAATGGAGCACGTTTACGAGTCACATATATACCTACATCATTAATGAAAACGAAGTCTAAATGAGCATCCAACCGAGTAGGAAAATCTACTACATTTTGGTGACCTAGCGATATAAGGAAGCTACAGTCACATGAATTAAAATCACCACATACAACTGAAAGTGAATCACTGAAGGCAGTAACAGCGAACTCAGTGAATTTATCAGCGAAGACAGATAGCGCAGATGATGTGCAGTCTGGAGTCACATAGATATTGGTAACATAAACATATTTGTATTTATTTAGATGTTTTGGACGGCATCTTAGAGTTAGACAGTCGATAAAGTCATTTGAAAACTTGAAACACGCAAACGTAGATCGACACCAGTTCACGTTTACAAAAGTAGCTACACCGCCGCCACACCTCTTTTTATCGTTTGATCGATCCTGACGATAAATTTTGAAATCATGTAGGGATACTAGGCAGTCGTCCTGTAAATCGTTTAACCAAGATTCTTGAATTGTGATAACACCACAATTACGATACATGTTTTGACTTAGTAGGGATTGAAGATAGTCTATCTTGTTAATTAATGATCGGCAGTTGGAATTGAGCAATTCGGGAATCGACATACGATTAATGTTCATTCTCTTCAACGCATATTGCCAACCACCACGATGTCTTTTATTGTAGGTTTTTGTAACTTGTGCAGCGAAAGGTCGTAGGCTTTTCATAAACGCACCTGTATATGTTATGCGATTAATGGACATAATGAGAGGTTAAAACAAAATGAAAAAAAAAAAAGATAACTTGTTGAAATAACTAGATGGCAGAAACAGGTAGCCCAGATATTCAAGCAGGCCGCCTTCTGATCAGTCTGTTATTGGTATATGTGCATACTGTAAGTATGCCTCGATTATTACCTTAATTCACTGAGTCATTAGTAGCTGAGTGGATAAAACGATAGTGTTTGAAGAGAATGGTACTGCGTTCGAGTCTCAAAGGGAACATCCACTCTGAGATACAGGTACATCCAACTGATGAGTTTCAAATAGGACGAAACACGCTTCAAATTGGATTCCACTACTAGCCACTAACTATCTTTGCTTATAAAAGCTTGTGAATTAAGGCAATATCACAGTCTTAAAACCTCAATGGAAAGATACAAGCAAAACAATATCAAATGATATGAGTTATTACCATAAACTTACTTTCAATTCTGGAGTCATCATTTGTTCATATTTAGGTAATGGAGTAAAAGGAATTGGTGTAATATTGACTGATTCAAGTATAGAATTAGATGAATTTTTCTCTGGTGTCAATAATTGATCTGAAGCAAATGTTTCTTGACAATTTTCTTCATTAATAGGTTTAATAAACAAACTTTGATTGATTTCCTGTATCTTATTATTACAACTATCGTCATTACTAATGTAATTATTGAATGAATTTGTAGTGAGAAAATCAAGTACTGAATTAGTTAGAATAGATTTATTCATATGAGAAATAGAATTAGAAGGAACTATACTACTATTATTAATATCAGTAGTAATAGTAGTTATATTCAATAATGAATTTGTAACTATTTCATTATTATTTGATAAACGTATACGTTTCATTAAAGGTGATGGAGTTGTTTCATCATCTAACCAAGAATGTTTTGAAGTAGTAGATTGTATATCATTATTATTTAAAACTGGAGATAATTTTGTACAAATTGGAGAGGTGTTTAAGTGAAGAATTGGTGAATTATTATTCGATGTTTCTAACTGAAATGATAAAACAAAACCAAAATAAGATAGATGAGTTCCTTTGTAAACAACAAAAAAAAAAGACTGAATCTGACAAGCTATTCTTGTAACCCCCAAGCTAGAATTATACAGCGACATGAACACGAGAGAGAAGGCACAAAGTATGTGGAAAGTACTTTACTCCAAAGGTTCATCATTTGAATACAGAAATTATAATATTTTCATAATATTTTAAATGTCCTTGGGTTGATCGAAGATTCTGGAATGCTACTAAACATAGTAGCAGTATAACAATCAGAACCTCTGCATGTGACGTTCTACTTCCTTGATACTTCTAGCTAAAACTTCAAGTGAACACTGATTGGATGAAATGTTTCTTAGTGTTTTCCTTTATTATTATTTATTTATTTTAACACATAAATATCGGTACAAGAAGGCACCAAATACATATGCGCCACACAGATCTCATTTGATATGTGTGAGGGCTGTGATACTACCTGGGTGCCCAAACCGAAGTAGGTGGTTTTCTTAGGGGGCCACACCCCGAGCCTTC